AGAAACCGTTTAGGGGCTATTCAACACACACACACAAAGTGCTCCGCTTCCTTTAAGTTACCATAGCAACCATAGACTGTTAAAAAGAGATTTCAATTCACTTCTGAGCTTGTGCGCCCGTGGCGTCTGTCGTTGCTGAGCAACCATTAGCCACACTCTTCGAGGAACCACCAATAGCTATGTTTCCATCCAACTATTTTTTATGCACATTTTGGATATACAGATAAAAAAAACAGTTGATAGAAATGCCAAGATGTGCATAAATTGCATAAGAAACATGCGCATAACTGAGTAGAATAAACATTTTATTCGATAAGAAAAAATGCACATAAACTGCGATTTTAACACTTTTGCCGAGCAAATTCCAGTTTGTGTATGAAAAAAAGGTTATTTGATGGTAAAAATGTGTATGAATGGACAAACCAGCTGGCTCAACACATTGTAAAACATCTAAAAAGTTTTTTTGGTCATTCTAAAACACACCTTAACCACGTTACTGTCAAGAGCGTCTGTTCTCCGTATTTGGCTCTTCAAATGCCACCATGTGTCAGCATACTGTCTTCTGAGGCACGAGTCATTTATTAAATAAAGAAAAGATTCATGCAGCATCACCTACTGCAGAAAATTCAGTTTTTACTGTTGATATTTGGCGCCAAATAATCAGGAAGTGACGTTTCTGTTCTTTTTAACTCTTTATTCGCATGTCTTATACGATATTCCAGTTTTGGGCATACATTTAATTCACATTTTAGATGGAAACAGCTTGTGCCAAATCCTTGCTGCAGCTCTGATACAAGTTTTAGAGAGAAGATATTAATCTATATCTAATATATTGATCAAAGATCATAGATCACTCCTACACTAAGGTGTAGTGATGGGTCGTTCATGAACGATCCGTTCATTTTGAACGAATCTTCAATATGACTCGGGAACTACGAGTCCTCTCAGGGAGTGATTCGTTCATCCGCGTGTGCGCACATTTGTGCAGGTAGTATCGTTAATTTCAAGTCTTCATCACATTGGCAGAAGCCAATTATATGCGTTTAGAGCCGGAAAAAAAATTTATCCACTCACCTCTCGAGTCCTCTATCGGGTCTGAGCCACTTGTTCATCACGAGCCAATCATACGCGTTTAGAGCCGGAAAAGGTTTTGATCCGTTCATCTCTCGAGTTCTCTATCGGGTCTGAGTCACTCGTTCATCACGGGCCAATTATACGTGTTTAGAGCCGTAAAAAGAATTGATCCGTTCATCTCTCGAGTCCTCTATCGGGTCTGAGTCACTCGTTCATCACGAGCCAATCATATGCGTTTAGAGCCCGAAAAAGAATTGATCCGTTCATCTCTCAAGTCCTCTATCTGGTCTGAGTCTCTTGTTCATCACGAGCCAATCATATGCGTTTAGAGCTGGAAAAAGAATTGATCCGTTCACCTCTCGAGTCCTATCGGGTCTGAGTCACTCGTTCATCACGGGCCAATCATACACGTTTAGAGCCGGAAAAACAATTGATCCGTTCATCTCTCGATTCCTCTATCGGGTCTGAGTCACTCGTTCCTCACGGGCCAATCATATGCGCTTAGAGCCGGAAAAAGAATTAAACTGTTCACCCCTCGAGTCCTCGGGTTTGAGGCATTCTGTCACGTGATGAACAAACAATCATAGCTTCTATCGGCTTAGACTGTGCATTGATTAAGATTATATGTGACTGTCAATGTAACGTGAATGAACCACTGACATTTGAAGACATGAAGAGGTGAGCTGAGCAAAGAAACAAAAATGCTTTCATAGACAAATAAGCAGGTAAACATTGAATTATTATTTTCTCCTCCTTATATTCTATCTATGACTTATTTGTCTTGCAATCAACCTTTTGGGCTAGTTGTAGATGTGTTTGGAGTCATGTCTTTTTACTGTGGGGGAAACCGGAGCACCCGGAGGAAACCCACGCAAACACGGGAAAACTCCACACAGAATTGCCAACTGACCCAGCTGGGACTGGAATTAGCGAACCTCTTGCTTTAAGGTAACAGTGCTAACCTTAACCACCATGTCCACCCTACAGCAATCTTCCCTTCCGTTATGAGGAGTTAAGATACAAAAAAGTGCTATCTGAATTTTAGCTGAAATTTCTTCTAAAATGAAATTTTTTCTTGTGTGTTCATTTAGCAATTTCACTTTTATAGCAAGGAATAGGTTCTTTTCATTGCTTTAAAGTGAAATAGGGTGGCACGGTGGCGCAGTACGTAGTGCTGTCGCTTCACAGCAAGAAGGTCGCTGGTTCGAGCCTTGGCTGGGTCAGTTGGCATTTCTGTGTGGAGTTTACGTGCTCCGGTTTCCCCCACAGGCCAAAGACATGACTATAGGTGTATTAGATTAACTAAGTTGGCAGTAGTGAATGTATGTGTGTGAATGAGTGTTTCCCAGTACTGGGATGCAGCTGGTAATGCATCCACTATGTAAAACATATGCTGAATAAGTTGGCGGTTCATTCTGCTGTGGTGGCCCCATATGAATAAAGGGACTAAAACGAAGGAAAATGAATGGATGAATGTGCATCAGAAAAAAAGTTAATGTGATGCATTGGTTTCAAAAATGTGCATCAAAGACCAGTTATCATTTAACATATTAATATTAACATATTTGCATTGGCGAAACCCGATTCATCCACCTTAGAGTAGGAGTGATCAATAATCTTTGATCAATATTTTAGATATAGATTGATATCTTCTCTCTAAAACTTGTATCAGAGCTTCAGCAAGGATTTGTCACAAGCTATGTTTCTATCCAAAAATGTGAATTAAATGTATGCCCAAAACTGGAATATTGTATAAAAGACATGCGAATAAAGAGTCAAAGAGAACAAAAACGTCACTTGAATTGGGTAGGCTAAGTTGTCTGTAGTGTATGAGTGTTTATGGATGTTTCCAAGAGATGGGTTGTGGCTGGAAGGGCATACACTGTGTAAAACATGTGCTGGATAAATTGGCGGTTCTGCTGTGGTGACCCCAGATTAATAAAAAGAAAATGAGTAAAGTGAAATAAATGAACAAACAAAGAAGGCTGAGAAAAAATAGTGAAAAAAAATATTAACCTATGACCATTTTTTTCTGTAAACATTTTCATATGTGCTGTTGACTTTTCAACATATAATAGTAACCACCAAAGTTATTTACACATACAAAGAAAACAAAACTAATTAGTTTAGAAAGTTAGTGAGGCGTAATAAAATTATATTACACGGGTGGAAAATATTGAACACATGAAGAAAGGGAGGTGTAGAAAGGCATGGAATGCCCAGACAGCAGCTAAAATCTTTCAGTAGTTATGAAGCAGTCCTGCCCTTCATCAGTGTAATTAATTATTAGCTACTTCATTTCCAACACCTGCATTATCAAATGGTGAAAAAAAAACCAGGGTGGACATTTCAGCACGACAATAATCCCAAACACAAGCAAGACAACTGCCCACTGGTTTAAAAAAAAATTTAAATAAAACTGTTAGAATGGTCCAGCCATTCACCCGATAAAAAATCCAATTGAAAATAAGAGCTACAAAGGTTGAATTGATAGATAAGAACTAGAGAATCATTAAGATTTGTAGTCTCTGTTGAAGTTTGGGGTAAAATTACACCTGTGCAAGAGGTGTCTTAAAGCTGTCGTTACAAAACTAGTATAAAAACATTTCAGTCGTTTAGTATTTTCACCTTGTGTCATTCCATTACTACACAATGTCATTTCTGAAAAAAATCTGGTATAATTTTATATCCGCAGTAACTTTACAAATATATTTGCCCAGAAAAATTGTAATGCATTAGATATTTACTCGCTGTAATGTATTGTTTAATATATTAATATCATCATACATATTTTTTTGATTTTCATTACAGTTAAGCAAAGGATAAATAAATCTATCATTTTAAGATTCATACAAAAGTATTATACAAGTAATATATAATTATATACAAGTAATATTAGTATACAAGTGTACAACATTTTATACAATATTATTTAATATTTTATAGTACAAAACTGTTGTGCCGGGTGATTTTTATGAATCACTTAAGTCTCAGGTAAATAATTAAATGTCATGAACAAGCCACAATAAAAAAAAACTCTTAACTAAAATATTATGCCCCTTTTCACAAAATAAAAAAACAAAACTCTTCCATTTAAAAAGCTTTTCAATCAATCAAGCCTTTATTTGTCACATACGCTTTTATGTAGTGAAATAGAACCAGGAAGAAATTTTGCAGAGCTTTTTTTTAAAAACAAAAAGAAAATGATTATATATAATTTATTTCAAAAAATTTTCATGGTAGTTAACATTTTAAATGAAAACGTATAATAACATTGAAATATATAATTAAATGCTTACAAGGAGGTAGCTTGAAGTAGGGAGGCATGCGTGCTTGAAAAATTAATTTTGTTGACCTGCTCTACTTCCATCTGTCCTTGGGACTTCAATGATCCCAAAGGATTAATCCTTTAGGATTATCAATGCTTGCATGAGCATGCTTTTCAGAATTAATTACGTCGCAGTTGTCTGCATTCTTATGGACGTCACAATGGCCACCGTTTATTAAGTCAACAAGGGGTTGTAATTGTTAGCCACATATATAGTTGAATGCCCGTTCATTGTAGTGAGGATGTCAGTTCTGAACGGATTAGAAGGTTTACCATTGTAAAGTTATACCTATAGATGTATTTTCCAATCCATCCAGCTTAAAGTGCTTTAGAGGAAACCATTTGAAATGAATCATAAATCGGCTTTTCTTGATTCAAACTTAAAAATTTACAATACAAGATTGCAAAAAGTGCTGATGCTGAGCTTGTGCTTGGGCAGATGTTAAACCTTCAACTGATTATTTGAAGTAGTGTTTATCTATCCCTGGATAATTTCTCTTTGCCCTATTGCACTTAGCCCATAAATAAAAAAAATGATTCATACAATTACTTAGCTTTTATGAAATAATATATTTGACAAATGACTATTACAAATGACTGTATTCCAAGAGGAGTTTTTAATAACTGCATCCATCACTGGTAGAGTTGCCTAAAAAAATAAGTAATACAAAAGTTCCTAAATATAATTTTATCCCAGCAGTACAAGAGACAGAGTTTTTATACAAACAGCAATGACTAGTCTGTGTGAGGACAGTTATACTAAGGCGGTCTGTTTGGTGCAAATTTTTGGAAAGGCAGGCCGCCGTGTCCATGAATTAAAAATCAGCCTGTAGGAGGATGGAGTAGGTCAGCTCATGGCGTTCTAAAAACATTCTGCAAACCTCTTGGCAGCCCTTTTTACAAACCTCACTTTCCCACGATTCTTTATAGAGGAGGTGTATTCATAGGCTTTCAGTTTTGAATAGTAGTCTGAGAATTTATTGAACAGAATGGAGATCGGCATGCCGTTGAGAATAATTCCAAACGAGATGCATGCAAATGCAAAAATCCTGCCCAGATGGGTCTCTGGAAACATGTCTCCATAGCCCACTGTAGAGATGCTCACCTGTGGAGTAAATATAGGAATGCTTAGGCATGCCAGTAAAGGACACATATTTTGAGGTTTAATAAAAATATTAGGTAACAATTTGTTTTGATGGTCCGTTTGAGTATTTGCTTAATATCTGTTGATACTGCTCCTTCAACAGACATTTAACTAAGTGTGCTTTCACATCTGTAGTTCGCTTCATTTGGTCCGGACCAAGGTTAATAAATGATACATTGTTGCATCTTCTGCCGTCTTTGGGTCGTTTTCTCACCACAATGCTGGCTTTGGTTCGAACCAGTTGAAATGAACCAAAATACAGTTATCTGACAAAATCTACATCTCTCATTGGTCAGATGCTTATTGATTGGTCAGAATTCACATGCGGGAAAATGCCAGTGAACTCCCGCAGGTAAACAAAACCTTTTACTCTGGAGGGACGACTGCGCTGGCTGATTGTATCCCTGCTTTAGACAAACTGTACATTACAAAAATGAAACATGGCCGCAGCTGGAAAACAGTGTTTAATGCATCGCTCGTCACTTCAGGAGGAGACGTGAATTTAGCTAAACTGCGACATGGTTATCTTGCGGAAATATTACCAACGATCCATCAGGTAATGTTTTCCCCTCTCTCCCTCTCTGTTGGTAAAGTGCTGTCAACAAATATTTGTCCTCCATATACCATAATGCACAGCGCATCGGCCTACGGCAGCTGAATTAGTCCAAAACGCGCAGTACTTTTTGCGGTTAGACCTGTTTTAGTACTGATCATATTCTCACCACAAACAAACCGCTCCAGGGTTCGTTTAAAAGCGTACCGAGACCACCTCTTCAAGCAGGTCTCGGTCCGCTTTTGGTGTGCACTCGAGTACGATTGCTGCATTCTCACCTGCCCAAATGAACCGTACCAAAAGGGGAAACGAACTCTAGTGCGAGTCAATCAAACTAAATAAGGCAGGTGTGAAAGCACCCTAAGAACCTTTGCAAGTACTTGTCAACTTACACTAACCCTGACCCAAACCTAAGAGTCTACTTATAATCTAATAAGGTAGTTGGCACGTAGATGCAATGTAACTTCATTCAACAAATGGACCATCAAAATAAAGTGTGACCAAAACATGTTGCTCTAGGGATAAAAAGGATTAAGAAGAGCAGTAGGGGATTACACATGGTGGGCAAGTGACACGATTGTGATAGGTGCCGTAGTCACACTTATCACAGTTGAAGATGAAGCATTTAATAGAATTACAGTGGAAACACCCCTCATAATCTGGCTCGGTCCATGTTCTAAACGAAAATACTATCAGGGGTTTTCAAGCATGTTTCTTAAGGGCTATTGTCCCGAGTTTAAATCAGACCTAAATAAACAACTGAACCAACCAAGTAAGGTCTTTAGAATGACTTGAAACGTTTGGCAAGTGTATTAGAGATCTGTCAATCTGTAGGACATGGACAGAATTGAACACCCCCAGGTATTATATTACCCAGATACATTCACGGCATATTTTATACAGTAATTCGAAAATAAGATGTACTTACAGCTGCCCACCACCATGCATGTGGAATGCTGGTGAAGTTTGTTTTATGCACATCATGCTCGACGGTATACACCATGGCCGAAAATGTTAAGATTCCCATTGCAATGAAGAGGAACAGACAGCCCACTTGTTGGTAACATTGCCGAAGCGTGAAGCCGAATGCTCGAAGTCCAGTAGAGTGGCGTGCTAATTTAAGGATACGAAATATCCTCATCAGACGCATGATTCTGAGAACTTGGCCCAATTTACCGACCCGTCCTACTGTCTCAATATCACTACCATGTTTCCAGTAGTCATGACTCTCAAAAGACTCTAGAACCATTTGAAGGTACAATGGAAGAATTGCAATCAGGTCCACAGCATTCAACACACTTCTCCCAAAGCGTGTGAGGTCTGGCGTGGACACAAGCCGGAGCAGGTATTCCATGGTGAAAAATGCAATACAGAAAGTCTCGACATACTCACAGTAGGTCTTTCCACTTAGTTGTCCATTGGTTGTTATGTATTGCATTTCCTCTACCGTGTTGAGCGTCATTGCCACAAGTGATACCAGCACGAAGAAACTGGAAGCTACTGCCATGATTTTGGCTATGATCGACGAGAAGGGCTTCTCCATCATGTTCCAAATGAGGAAACGCGTATGCCCAAAGGCCATGTCCTGAAACAAGTCCTCATGTTCCTCAGTTTCCACCTCTGCTTCAAGTTCCCTCTGCACCTTCAGCTGTTCGTTGAGCTCATCCTGCCGTTCCTCAAATGAAATTCGACAGCAGCGATGGGTGTTCTTGATACGAACACCCCAATAGTTGATCTCCTCCAAAAAATTGCGTGGACACAGTTCATCTTTTATCCACAGAACTCCAGTCCTGTAGAAGTTAAAGATGTTGTGGAAGACGTCTGGGTCCCTATCGAAGAAAAACTCATTGTTGTGGACGGTGTAATCATCACAGAGGTCAAGTTTCCTGTTGTGGTCCGTATATGTTGCAAGACGGCCAATTCTGGTCTTGGGATACTTTGCTGCTACCCTGTAAGAGATCTGATAGACCTTGCCTCCTACGTTGATGTTGAGCATATAGTTCTTAACCGGAGAGGACAGTTTACTAGGAGTGGAGAACAGTCGATCCTCTTCATCATCTTCGTACTCTGCATAGATGTCGTAAATATCCTTACTTAACTCCTGCATCGAATTCCATGGTTTAACCCAATTGTGCTGACCAAAAGGAAGGTCAGAGTCCTCTGGATCTTTGGGAGCAGGGACTGTGACCCCAAGTTTATAGTTGGGAAAAAGGCTTTGCCTTCTGCCCTTAAGCTTGAGCATGGTGCCGATGTCCTCTCAGCCTGGCAGATGCACAGGTTGCACAGGGCATAGAGGCTTTAGATGAATTTAATACCTCTGAGTCAGACCCCTGAGCAACTACAGGAAGCAGCACTGACTAATGTTGCTGACACAGAGGATCTGAGTGCTTAAAGACTTAAATACTATGATCCTCTTCCAGACTTTTATCTACCAACCCTGATGTCTTTCATTTCCCATATATTGACCAATCTCAGACAAAGGATATTACACCATGTGGTTTGGAAACTAAAGCAATAAAGATCTTCTCTATAAATATCTTTTGATAAACGTTGCACCAGAGAGAATTATAGAATATGGATGAGAACGGCTTTTTAAAGGGGATGGACATTAGAGCATCTCTTTTCTTGGGAAATCATTCACAATCATTTATTCTGAAATATATTTCAGAAACCCACTCAAGTTTGAACAAAAAATGACTACACTTATTTTTTTCTTGAACCTTGCAATATTTTAATTTTTTTGTAAATGTCTTTAATTAAACTGCTCTGGGGTATTAGGCCCCGTTTACACTTATGCGTTTTAGTTTGTAAACGCATAAGTTTTGCTACCGTTACGCCATCCGTCCACACTACGTCGGAGTTCTCGAGCGCCGAAAACGGAGCATTTCGAAAACGCTGAAGAGGCCGTTTTCATACTAAAACACTGCTGCTCCGTCTCAGTGTGGATGATGGAAAACGGAGACATCTGAAAACGGAGGCGGGGCTGCAGACATTCGCCTCTCTGATTGGGGCTTTTCCTCAATATTAAGTAGTCTACACACACAGTTCAGTCCTGCATCCTCTCCTTGTAAGTTCAGACTTCGCAATTTTGATCAAGACTGCAGTCTCTTCTCAGTTTGATATGGAAAACAGACTATACTGAGGACACGGGTAAATCTTCTAAAGGGAACAGTGTACTTTATAACTTCATTCACATCACCCTGGCTATGTTGTTTCACTTTCTCAACAATAAAATGTAAACATGATTTAAGGAACTGCCTATTTTCATTTTAATATTAGCAACTTAGCAGACAGCAGAAATGTTGAGGCATCGTGGTGCATTTATGAGCGTCATCTTTACTGTGTGGATATTTATAACAAAACGCTTTACATGATTTACATAAATCATTAACTTATCTTTGCGCTCAGCTAAAACACGTTACCTAAGAACTAGTAATAGATTCCAATGACCAAAGTCAGGGAATATGTCGTTAGATAAAGACAACAAGATGAATGAAATATCCCGTTTAATAAATATAGTGAGATTAGATCCAGCGGGAGATGCTTGATGAGAAGTCCGACTAGCACAGCTCTCATCTGGGTAGACAGGCTGCAGCGCTTGGACGCGGATCGTTTTTTTTTATTCTAAAACGCCGTTTTAAAACTAAAACGCACTAGTGTAAATGGGGCCTTAGTGTAAAGTAGTCCATTGTTAACCCTGAATGTGTTTATTACAAAGTTCCCCCCCCAAAAACCCTCATTTTTCTATTACATCAGGCTTTGTAGTTAAAATTTGTCATCGGTTTTTTTTTTAAAGAACAGCATGTTATTCCCCGTTCCAAGCACACTTCAGTCATGCTATCCTCATTATCTACATCCATTGATCAAGAAATTTGCCCTTATTATAGCCTTTATTATACCCCTACTGAAATTCGCTACTTAGGGACTTTTACACTGGAAGAACTTTGAGTTCCTGGAACTATTGTTGACAGTAACTGCTTCATGACGTGTTTACACCAAAATCGACTGGGAATTATTTTAGTTCCAAGAAAATATTTTAGTTTAACTAACTATTTCAGAGAAGGTCTAATCCAGCACAATAAGAAATAGAGTGATGTTTACACTGATTGATACAAAACACTTGCACATTATTTTAGTGGTACAATACATAACCATTCAGAAAAGTAATAGAAGTGCTTACCTGTTGCCTGCAGTGTTGTTCGGTGCTACGTAGCTAGCACTACAAGTTGCCATAGAGTTGTCATATTTTGCAGCATCAATACAATAAAAACAGCATTGATCCTGTTGTAGAATTCTCTACTTGAGATTTAAGTCAGACAGCTTCCATTACTAGTGATCCAGGGGGAATTCCATTACTAATGATTTTAGGCAACTGGGATCGGTGGTTAGTTCCAATCACTCTCTCCTCTTCAGACATTGACATGGGGCCAGTGCACTCACCACATACCAGCCTTGTTGCTGATGTTGCATCATCCAGGTAGATGTTGTACACAGAGAAGAGACCAAATAATGTGATTTCAAAGCACTTTGTTTGTAGTTCAACAATCAAAGTGCTGTATGAAGCCGCACTTAATGTTTTACTGTCTGCCATTACATAATAGACAATACTTTGGTTCTTAAACAGCAAGCCCAACTGCAAATATAGACAGTTCTTGTCAAATGAACGGTCACAAAGGGTTAACTCGCTAAAAATAAAACTGTCGCAAATAATTTCACACTCATGTCATTCTTAACCCACAATTTGTTTGCTCATCTTTAGAACATCAAACTCAAGAGCTCCCTGATCCACCATAGACTGCAATAGTCTAGATTTATTAAAATTTCAGAAAGGTACCAAACATCCTTAAAACGGACAATATGCCTTCAAGGGTCCAATCGAAAAATGATCAAGCTAAGATCAAGCACACTGTTGATCCCAACAATCCCAAAAGTGATGTGCGCTGATGTATACCTCAGATGCCCACACACAAATTACTCTGTGTATACCTCAGATGCGTTTGGTCACAACACTTCAACTTGGTCCCTACACTTACATGAGGGGGAAAAAAAAGCGAGGGTTTGAAAGCGTGGGTTTTCTGATGCATGGAATGAATTTATGTATGCACAAGTATTATCAGAGCTTCATAAAAATCAGAATGAACTAAATAGGGTCTATTTTTAAATTATTTTTACTTTAAATGAGCCAGGACTGTTTAGGTCTATAGAAGAATAGGGAGCGCTCAGATTTCATCTAAAATATCTTAAAGGTGCAGTATGCAAGTTTGACACGCAGCGGTTGACATACCCTTCAACCCTCCCATTTTTTCACAGGATTCTCCCATATTTTAGTTCTACCCCACTATCATTACTTTAAAAGTTTTTTCCTGTATTTCTTCCATATTTTCAATCTTTTTATAAAGGGTGGGAAATAATCATTAAAGAGCCGTTCCTCCTTATATGCAACCCATACCACCGAACCTCCAGGGGACACCCCTTGCTCCTAAATGCGAGTCTGTTCTGTGCCTTCATTTTATTTAGGCATGAAAACATTTTGAAATAAATCTAAAAAGGGCACGATTCCCTTTTTATTACAGGTGCAAGCGCCCTTCTTATGCAATCTTCAGTACAGTCATATAGCTGACACACCTCATAGTGATGAATAGACACTGTTTCCCAATTGTAAAAAAGCAGAGCGAAAGATTGGGTTTTGGGTCATTGTTTGAACAGACATATACACATAATTAATATAATAAACATAAAATTCTAATTATATCACCAAATACCCCTTATTTTTACATCCCAATGTTGACGGGTATGGTGGTTGACCTAGGTATTGGACTCCTGGTTCACACGCAAGTGCAGGTTGCCAGATCGACAACACCAACAGGAGTGCGCCTAACTCTAGAGCCTAAAAGCTGATTTAGGTCATGTTCTAAATAAAAGCAACTGCACGCAATAGGAGGAATATTTTCCATATTAACAGTAGTCTTGTTCTAACCAACACCTGAAATAATGTTAGAAATGGCTTCTATATCTCGCTGCTGAACAACATGACAAACTGAATAAAGCACATAAGGTGTACCTGAGATAAATGTTAGTGTTAAATGCTAACAATGTGAGTTTGAATGCCATTTTACATGACATTTATATCTATACTACTAAAAGCAGCAGCAGAGTTCACCTCAGATATCGAAAATAAACCGTTTGAAACTGAACTTTAGAACTCTGACTCAGTGCAAGCCAACATATATATCAGTGCTTCAGCATCTACATTTAATAATGTTAAAGAGGTTTAATATGTAATAATTAGATATTAAACCTTACCATTTCGTTGGAGTGCAGTGAGTGCACTATTGTGTTCTCTTGAATGGCTGCATTTAAACTTCTGTCATGTTTTGTCTGATGCAAACAACCAAATTGCTTATCACTGCAAATTTCATCATGTTGTTAGGACACAGGGTTACAATGTAACCTGCTCACCTAAATGTTTACATTCATCTATTTATATTACTTGCCAATTAATAACCTCATGTGGAACTCTGAATCTGCGTCTCATTTCGGAGTCTGCTACTATCCACCGGAGGTCACATTTTGGTTGAGAGCCTTTGACTAAATGAAATGTGCTGTTTTCCACAAAGGCAGCCCAGAGTCCTGAAATATAATTGGCTAAGGTGGCAGTGGGTGGGTTAAATGACTAAAAGAAAGACAAGACATTCTAGCGCATAATAGATGTTGAAATAGAGGAATTTGTGTCTGGCTCACGACACCAAAACGGCTGCGAAATTCTGAAGACGAGCCAAAAACCAGGAGGAATTTCTGGGATCTTCAAATTAAAATCCTTTAACAAGAACAACTCATCGTCAATGTGGCATCATCAAAATAACTCAACTAGTGCAGCAGACACTCAGTTCAAATAAATTTTTACAGACATTGATACATGTAGGTGGGAACGGTCTAAAACAAAAAGCATACAAAAAGTTGTCAGCAGGGTAAATTGCTTTTCCATCCCCGATCTCATCAGCATAAAAGTACCCATTCATGATGCTTTTTAGCATGAAAACAGTGTGCAAATAATGTTCTGAAGACCAAACCTATCCGAAACGTTGACCGGCTTGACCATTTGTTAGACAATAGACACACTGTGTAGACAGTCAGGGCTCAGAAAACCAAGAGATTTTAAGGTCTGCCACACCCTAAAAACTAAAGAATATAACTTTCAGTTATATATATATATATATATATATATATATATATATATATATAAATAATTGCTAATTTGGAACTAGATTATAAAAATTTATATTCCCACACAAATAAAAAAAGAATGTTGACTTGGCATGTTTGTTAAATATCTGCGAACATTATGTCATTTATTTATTTATTTTTTTGCTTTAGAAGAGTCAAAAACTTGCATACAGCACCTTTAATTGGTTTATCGAAGATGAACTAAGCTCTCAGGGTATTGAAATGACATGAGCATAAGTAACTAATAACAGTGTTTTCACTTTTGGGCGAATTAACCCTTTCAGAAATAAAGGCAAATGTGCAGGTGCTAACACTTACTCTAACATTTAATCCACAAGAGGTAAAATCTTTTACAAAATCACTGAAGTGCGTCTAGACAGCAAAATTGTAGAGTGAATCCAACAGATTGAAATCTCATTTCATCATGCTTGTATTGCAGTGGCAGCACGTTATAAATATCAGTTTGCATCATGATTCTGTAAACGACACTCAAAACACAAAAAAAGTTTGGACTTGAATTAAGTCTGGGAGTTTACTAGTAGTTCTGACACTGATAGTAATTATGTGTTGAACGCACAAATGCAGTCATTCAAATT